ATATATATATATATATATATATATATATATATATATATATATATATATATATATATATATATATATATATATATATATATATATATATATAAATACAAGCTTTTATTTTGTATGTTATTAATCATTATTATTCTTTTAATTGACGATTAATCTTTTGACAGCATATATAAAAACATATATAAAAATTGTTATAGAAAGGTACATTTAAATTAAAAATACCAGGAATAACAAAATAATGCAACATATTTGTAGTTGGTTAACTTTACCCATAAATTATCAACATTGAAATCGAATTAAATCGGTTTATAGGCCTATATACTGTATAATCACAACAACAGAGCAACTCAAAATCTAACATGCAATGTAGATAAGAAAACGTTCAAGAATGTGAAAAAAAAATTGTCAACATTTTTTTAAGTGTCATCATAAAAATTATAAAAAAATAATCTACTGATAAAAATTGTAATTGAAATGTATGTAAATGAAAAAAAATGTAATTAATGAAATTAGTCCGCAATCAGCTACTGTCTGAGCTGGTGTATTTGCATACAGCGATCTGATTGGCTGATGCTTCTGTTGGCGCTTGAAAAGTTGAGAAAGTCCCAACTTCTGCAGCGAGCAACGATTCTGAAGCAGCGCAGATGGATTCACAATGCACTTCGGCAACGCCTGACGTCACCCATTCAAAGTGAATGGGAAGCGTTGACGCTGACTCCCCGTGTGAATGAGGCGTAAGGTGTGGGACACACACAAGTAATAGTGGTAGCGGCAAAACAGGTGGACAGAAGCAGGTGCAACTCAAATAAACTCAAGTTGGCTACTGAATGAGTTCATCATGATAATGTCACTATAATAATTTGATCAAATCTTAAATAAAATAATTTAATAGAATAAAATGTACAATCAATTTCTAAAAACTTAAAGTTAATTCATATAAAAACGATATCAATTAGACATACAGAATAGTTTTGAAATCATCAGATCTGTGCTGTGGGCTGTTTGAGATCAGCCAATAGTTCTGTATTGTCAGTAATTGTTGGCTTTTGTAATGTAATCAGGGCAGTATGTGTCGTTGCCTGAAGCGATGGAGCGAGATCCCATCCGTACGTCTGCGGCTCAAAACCACACACCACACACACGAATGAGCTGCACACGTGTCCCCGATGGGCGCTCGGCTTCATCACTTCATCTGATACTGTGTGCCAAGATGTACTGTAACCTAATAACATAAAATAACATGGCCTATGATGTTATTTATGTTATTCTCTCTGAGAAGAACGCCGGTAAACCTGGCGGTGTTGAAACTGAGTGAAGCAGGAGTGCTAGACAAACTCAAAAATAAATGGTGGTACGATAAGGGCGAGTGCGGACCCAAGGACTCGGGAAGTAAGGTCAGTTTCCGGCAAAAGCTGAACAGCGCAGATTTCTGAAAAGCACAAATACTGCTGACAGTAGTCTTAACACGTCACTGTCGTCTCCAGACTGAAGCTCGGAACAATCAAAATAGAACTGTTAGAATGCGACACAATTCCGAACTATGATGTCATGGTTAGACGTTCATGACATCAAAACAGTGCTCTTTTTCTAGAATGCAGATTTGTTGCAATAAATGAGCACGTTTATTACAGATAGCTAATTAGAGTGAACACTGCACTATTAGAAGGACTAGACTGGGATAATGTTCAATTATTCACTCTTTAGCTTTAAGGGTCGATGGTAGAAACCCATTTTAAATTTCATTCCGGCTCTGAGAGAGCAGATTGTAGACAATATAATAATAAGTATAAAAATATGTCGATTTTTCGTGATGTTTTTGTTTTAAAAATAATATTTATTTCCAATATAATATATGACACAAGTGTACTTAAATGCAGTTTACAAATAAAAACGTCAAAATGAATTACAAAAAAAAGAATACAAAATTTAATTAATTAAATTTTAATCATTGAAATAAAACAGCAAAGTCGTCATTGCAAAGTAGATTGATATTGTGTAATAATTATGCAAATGATTAATACAAAATAAAATTGTTACATTTAAAAAAAAATTTTTTTAAATAAAATGTTTAAAAAACAGTGCAATTGTTAATTTGTGGGTTGAAATGATTTAATAGCTATACAAATAATTAATTACAAGTTAAATAAATTATGATTAAACAATTACTACATATGAAAAATATATTATATATTATAAAATATATCAAAAAATATAAATTAGAACAAATTAGCTTTATTTTTTTGCAATTGTTCATTTGTGGATTAATAGGATTTAATAACTATATTACAAATAAAACATTTAATGTGCTAGTTTTAAAAAACTAAACAAAACGGGATTACAAAAAAATGACTTTTTTAAATTTGCGGATTAACAGGATCTAATAAATATACAATTTTTACATTTGTTCATATTTAATAATTTGTTTATATATATTTCAAAATCTAAAAGCCTTTAGTTTTTCTTCTGTGATTAATAGAACTTTATGACATTAAATCAACGACACCAGTAGTTAAAAGTCATGAAATACTTTAACGCAATACAACTTTTATTATATTATCATTGTTAAAAGTGCATTTGACTATTAATTAAATATTGACTACTGATCAAATATTGACTACAGATCAAATATTGACTATTGATCAAATAGTCTTCTGATTAAATATTGTCTGTTGATTGAATATTGACTATTGATCAAACACGGTTGATTGGGAAATATTATAGACAATTGATTGAATATTAACTATTAATTGAATATCGACTTAACAAAATATTGAATATTGATTAAATATAGACCATTAAATAAATATTGATCATTGATATCATTTAGACATTTGAAAATTTATTGATTAAATATTGACTATTGATTAGATATCGACTACTGATTGAACATAGACTATTGATCAAATAGACTACTGATCAAATATTGACTATTGATTAAATATCAACTATTGATTGAATAGAATTGAATATTACTTCTGATTAAATATTATCTATTGATTGAAAACTGACCATTGATTGAAAATATTATATACACTTGATTGACTATTGATTGAATATTGATTATTAACTAATTATTGACTTGATAAAGAATTGAATATTGACTAAATATAGACAACTGATTGAATATTGATTAATGATAACATTTTGACAATTGAAAATGTATTGACTATTGATTGAATATTGACTATCGATTAAATATCGACAATTGATTAAAAATTGACTGTTGATCAAATAGACTACTGAATAAATATCATCTATTAATTTAAACTTGACCATTGATTGAAAATATTATAGAAAATTGATTGAATATTGATTATTAATTGAACATCGACTATTTATCAAACAGACTACTGATTATTGATCAAATATTGACTATTGATCAAATAGACTACTGATTAAATATTGACTACTGATTATTGATCAAATATTGACTATTCATTAAATATTGACTATTGATTAAATATCAACTATTGATTGAATATTGACTATTGATTAAATATCAACTATTGATTGAATATTGACTATTGATTAAATATCAACTATTGATTGAATATTGGCTATTGATCAAATAGACTACTGATTAAATATTATCTATTGATTAAAAAAACTGACCGTTGATTGAAAATATTATAGACAATTGATTGACTATTGATTGAATATTGATTATTAACTAAATATTGACTTGACAAAATATTGATCAAATATAAACCTCTGATTAACTACTGATTATTGATTACATTTTGAGAATTGAAAATGTATTGACTATTGATTAAATATTGAACATGGATTAAATATTGACGAGTAATTTAATATTGATCAAATAGATCTATTTATTAAAAATTGACTGTTGATTAAAAAAATTATAGACAATTGATTCAATATTGATTATTAATTGAACATCGTCTTGACAAAGTATTGAATATTGATTAGATATAGACCACTGATTAAATATTGATTATTGATAACATTTTGACAATTGAAAATTTATTGATCATTGATTGAATATTGACTATTGATTGAATAGTGACCATTGATTGTAAATACTATAGGCAACTGATTAAATGTTAACTATTGATTAAGTATTGATTATTGATAACATTTTAAATAATGATTAAATATTGATCATATAGGTTAAAGACTATTTATGAAATATTAACGATTTAATGTTAACAAAAAATTGACTACTGATTAAATATAGACTATTAATTTAATATTGATTACATATTGATTGAACCGTTTAACATGTGTAAATGTGTTGAAATCGTGATCTTGCCACTTCCTGCATTCCCCTAACTCCATCTTTCTCCCTTTTCTCCCCCGCATCCCTCGCTCTCCAGGACAAGAGTTCGCAGGCTCTGAGCCTCAGCAACGTGGCGGGGGTTTTCTACATCCTGGTGGGCGGCCTGGGTCTGGCCATGCTGGTGGCCCTGGTCGAGTTTTGCTATAAGTCCCGCGCCGAGGCCAAGAAACTGAAGGTGGAATCGGCTGAACTGAATTTTAGCCCCGCTCCCAGCCCGACGCACAGTGTGCAGAACTTAGCCACTTATAGAGAGGGATACAACGTGTACGGCTCTGACGCAGTAAAGATATAGGGGTAGGACAGTATACGTCTGCTTGCGGTCGCAGGGGTGTTCGGCCTGACCCTCGTCAGACGTCCCGCTAATGTTGTGACCGCTTTCCCATCTTTACGTTGACTTACGTTTTGTTTTGTTATTGTTTCCTTCAAAGAGATCCCTTCATTTCTGTCGCCTGTCGTTTCCTTTCGCATCTGTTCATTTATTTTCGTTCTGTTCTTTTTCTGGAGTTGCCTTGACTAGACGATGGCATCGGTTTGGTCTTCTGGCTGCAGTTGCTGGTGTTTGCACTGTTGGCTTTCTTGTTTTCAGACACCTGCATTAAAGCAAAAAAAAGGCACAAGATGGAGAACATATAAAACACACACATATACATGGACAAAGCTGCCATATTGCATTAGGATCTCAAAAATTCCGTGAGCGACCTTCAAAACACTTTATATAGGAATGCTGCTTATATACTGTTTCATTAGAGATGCTTTAGAGATGCTCTCTGCTATAGACCAGCGCTTCTCAACTTGCTGTTTTATTAGGATATAAACAAAGCTTTTAAATCATGTGACTAAGCATATACAGTTGAAGTCAGAATTATTAGTCCTCCTTTTTTATTTTTCAAGTATTTCCCAAGTGATGTTTAACAGAGCAAAGAGTTGTTCACAGTATTTCCTATAGTATTTTTTCTTCTGATGAAAGTCTTGTTTTATTTCAGCTAGAATAAAAGCAGTTTTTTTTTTAAACCATTTTAAGGTCAATATTATTAGCAATATTTGTTTTGGATTGTCTACAGAACAAACCACTGTTATATAATAACTTGGCTAATTAATCTTATTAACCTAGTTAAGCCTTATGGGCCCTATCATATACCCGGTGCAATGTGGAGCAAGGTGCGACGCAATTGTTGTTTGCTAGTTTCAGCTTGCCGCAAGAGTCGTGTTGATGTTTTGCGCCACGCTGTTATAATAGCAAATGCATTTGCACTCATTTGTGCGCCCATAGGCGGTCTGATCTAAAAAAGGAGGCATGTTAAGGCGCATTGCTATTTTTGAGAAACTATAATAGATTTTTCAATAGACCAAAACAAAGCCGGTCTATTGTCCAGCGTAGAGCGCGTTACTAGTGCGCCTCGCTTACACACTGCTTAATACACACAAGATGTAGAGCAATACGCAAATATCTTTACAAATGAAATATAATTAAAATATTAAGTATATATAAATAGAATATAAATACAAAGATTTAAATATCACAAAACACATTATTTTCTAGCCTACATAAATATAAAAACCATACTTTCATGTCTTCTTCATCTCAGGGGGCTTTTTCAGTTCATTCATAACGATTAGCTTATGTATAATGTAATTAATATTGGCAGTATTATTTATTATATCCATATTTATATTTGTTTTATTAAAAACAAGCTTAGATTTGCCCACCTGCAGGTTTTAGACTATATGGGGCACAGCATGTGTTTTAGGATATAACTCAGGTTTTTGAGCACACTTCGTTATTACTGTTCATTTATTCGTTTGCTGGAAATTAGAACAAAATTTAGAAATAGGTTTGAAACAAATCTTTGCGCTTAACAAACAAAATTAATTATTTTTAGGCTAATTGATGTCTGTGCGTAAAGGTTTCCCTATCCAGGAGCGAAAGTGGAAGTAGATTATGAGATACCTTATCTTTCATTCTCGCGTTGTAGATGCTCTGTTTAACTGTTTTCTCTCTAGTGAAATGCTACATTTTTCCACTTTCACTTACTTTACGTCATGTAAATAGCAAATGCGCTATGGCACGACAAAGCTGGCTCTTAAAGGGAATGAGAGATGAGACTCTGATTGGTTTATTCTCAAAACACCCCTATAACTCATTAAGAAAATAAACTCAACCCTGTTAGATCATGCGCCACAGTGCAAAGCGGATTTTTCCGTCCTTAAATTAGCAAAAGTGGATGCTGACACGCCCTTAATGCGTTTGCGCCCTGCGCTTTGCATCGTCAAAATAGAGCCCTAAATGTCACTTTAAGCTGAATAATAGTGTCTTGAAAAATATCTAGTAAAATATTACGTGCTGTCATCAAGGCAAAGATAATTTCAATTTCAAGAAATCAGTGATTATTAAAATTATAATGTTTAGAAAATTCTTCTTTCCGTTAAATAGAAATTAGGGGGAAAAAATATAGGGGGGCTTATAATTCTGACAACTATCAGTCAGCTTTTCAAAATCTGATTAAATTAGCTTAAAAATGTAAATAATTATGGTTTAACCCTTGTATTACATTAAATTCTGAGTGTGTTTTTATGGACAAGTTCAATATGACCCTAGGAGGATTTAAACTAATTTCACCACAAAAAAAGCAGATCAAAACAGTAAAGCTTTCAAACAATAAGCTCATGTTGTAATGTTTGAGAAGTATGAAAGGGATTAGTTCACCCAAACAGTGTTGCCAACTATTTAAAATGAAAAAGAGCTAAGCTCTGCCAGAAAAGTTGCTAATTGTCGCTAGATTACTTCATACATCGTCTTCACGTACAACCGTTTCTGTTTGTTCAACAGCCTATGGTTAATAAAAGGGCATTTATATTAGCACTACGCTTTATGCATCTCAATTTAACTAAATTTATAGCTGTTTGAATACAGTATATCAGTATAGATGTGTAATGAATTTGCAGTAATCTCTCAGACGTAATAAACTCAGACAAGTTCCGAAACGGTCACTAAAATATCTCTAATTGTGAACAAGAAAAGAATAAACAGTCAAATTAAATTGTTCCATTTAAAACAAATGTGGGTTTGACTGTACAAGGGAAATACCTCACACCAGGGGTCACCAACACCCGGTAGCCCGCCAGGTTCACATGAGTTGCCCGTGGGCCTGTTCTAAAAATAGCTCTAATATTTTTATAAATATTCTTTTTAAATCACACTTGCATTGGTGTAAATTTGAAAATTACTTTGTTATATATTAAAAAAAAAAAAAACTTTAAAAACAATTTCAGACAAATGAAGTGTTGCATATTGATATTTATCTAACTTGTTAAATCATTGTTGACAACTACTGTGAGAAATCATTAACATGATCAATGTCTTCACATAGATGAATATTATTAATTATTAATAATAACATATAATTAAAATTAAATTAAGAAAAATGTGTTATTTAATAACTGGTAGCCCTTCACACTAATAGGTACCCAAGAAGAAGCTCTCAGTTATTTGAACTTTTTAACTTTAACTACAGTCTGACGATCATTACACTAATCATTTACGCAGATGGCTGATCTGCTCTTAGGGCCTACTCACACTATGCCATCCGTACCGTGCCCAGGCTCGTTTCCCGGATCGTTTGAGAAGTGTGAGTGCGCTTAATCGGGCTCAAGCACGGTTCACTTGGCCGGCCCTGGCCCGGTTGGAAGAGGTGTGCCTGAGCGCGGATCACTTGGGCTTTGGCGCGGTACGCTTGTGTGTGAGTGCAAAACGCGCCAAAGCCTGAAACTGATAGCGAGACGTGACTTTTAAGGGGCTGTTTCATATGGATTTATTAATCATTCTTACTGTTCAGTGAACGCAAACTGCTGTAGTTTATTAAAGACGCAAACTCCTCACTGCACGACAGCTGCGCGCCTTCAGCAGACCTCCTCATTCCTGCAGCACGAGGGCTTTATGATTGTTTATGAGCGTTAAAAGTGGCGGATCTGTTCGGTGAAATATCTGACTGCGTGTCCCCGCATCCCTAAGGACTGTTTGGCGAAATATTTGACTGCATATAAAACGACTGAAACGATATAACTAGAGAAATCTCCACTGTGCTGCTGAGTGAGTGAGCGCTTCTCACTGAACAGCGCAGCAGCGATGACGTAAGCGTGCCGAAGACCGTTTGTGGTGTGAGCGCGGGCCGTCGGGGGAGACGGGAGTGGGGACAAGCGTGCTTTGGCCCGGTTCGAGACAACTGTACCTAGTGTGAGTACGGCGTTAGGCTGCAGGTGGAGGAAACTGCTGTACTGAACAATACAGTACTGACACATGAGAGTCTATAAAAATCTCCTGTAACACCAAAAAACATAGATTTGTCACTAGTCACTTTTTTAAAAAAACAATTGTTGCTATTGCCGAGTCTAGTCTGCATGATTTTAGCCGTGATTTTGACTCGCCGACAGGTTTTGAGAAATCGCAGACAAATGCCTGAAATCGCAGGCAAATCGGTGCTCATGCATGCGAGTAACAATCACACAGTATGAACTATCAAAGATGCGATCTGAGAGAATCGTCGATGAGTCGCTGAATATCTAGAGCTGCCAGCGATTGAAATCGTGCTGTGTGACATGAGCTTTGACTGAAAATAACATCGGCGATCGCCAATGAGAGAGCATCATCCACTAGTGTGTGTACCTGCAGGCCAGCGGGAGGTTGAGGGAGCAGTTAATTTTCAGTTTATTTGGACCCAATGAAGGAAAAACTAGTGGAGGTTTAACAGGAGTACCTGTGTCTGTTTGACGTTTCATACAGAAAGTTAAAAAAGAAAGTTGAGGAGAAATTGCTAACTCCCTTCAAGCCCAGCTGAGGAAATATGCACATTTTCTACCCCATTAAAGGCTTCCTACTCGTTATGTAGTTAATAACAAAAGATACACTACGTGTTTTTGGTTGTGAGACGTAGTTTGAACAAAGTTGTCTGCGATTCTTCCTATTTTGAAGTCATGCAATGTGAAAGCCCCTGTTGCCGATCCATCTTGCAGTGTAAACAAAGCTGCAACAAAACGCTAGCCTAGATAGTCATGCAGTGTGAAAACATCTGACACGATTACTTTGAAAATCATGCAGTCTGAACTCGGCATAAGGGGGTCTGAAAAGTCGCTGAACAGTTGGCAACACAGCACCCAAAAATGAACATTTTGTCATTTACTTTCACTTTAATGATTGGGTTTCTTTCTTCTGTTGAACACAAAGATTTAAAATCACCACTGACTCGTATTTTGTTCCTGCTATGATCATAAAATACTAGTCAGTGGTTATTTTAAATCTTTGTGTTCAACAGAAACTCATGAAGGTTTAGAAATACTTGAGTGTGAGTCAATTGAAATTTACACTGTACACTCAATGCAAATTGACACTTTACATGTCTTTTTATGATCCTAATAGAGAAAATGTTGTTTGCTGTAAATAAAATTTACTCTTAAAAATGGCAGCTCTGTTTGGAAGATTTTTGATGTTAAAAATACAGTAGAAACCGTAAAATAAATGTCAAAATTAACAGTTAATACCATATTTCGTCAATTATAGTTTTTAATTTATAGTTTAGTATTATAATACATTATAGTATTTATAATATCTACATTACAGTGCCAAAAGTGTGAAAATACTAAAAATGTTTACTAAAAATACTCAAAATGTTTTATATTCCTCAAAACACCCTGAAATTGGGGGCGCTCTTATATGGTCACCAATGTAAACTGTGTGCCATCTGGTGGCCATGTTTGGTACTGCTAATTTTTTGAGAACTTCAAATTTGGTATTTAATTTGTTCAGATATTTAGTTTGGTTTTCTGTGAAATATATATTTAATGCAAAATAAAAAAAATTTACATTTATTGTTTTATTACTTTAATAAACTTAACTTTTATTTATAATGTCTATTTTACAAACATTGTCAAAAGTATGGAAATGTAGGAAACATGTTTGGTACTGCGATTCAACCAAATCTTACTGAAAGCTTATTTTGGGAGATATCAACTTCAACTTTGGAATATAATTTATTCAGATATTTACTTTGGTTTTGCTGTGAAATATGTATATTTTATGTAATATGATAAAATATACATTTATTGATTTACTGCTTTTATAATGTTATGGGCAAATAACTTTTTCCCAGAGATGGGTTGCGGCTGGAAGGGCATCCGCTGCATAAAAACGTGCTGGATAAGTTGGTGGTTCATTCCGCTGTGGCGACCCTGGATTAAAAAAGGGACTAAGCCGAAAAGAAAATGAATGAATAAATGAGGCTCATAACTTTTACTTATAATGTAATCTTTACAAACATTGTCAAAAGTATGAAACAAATATGGCTCACATTCCTCAAAACAAACCGAAATTGGGGGCGCTCTAATATAGTCACCAATGTAAAGTCTAGTGGTCATGCTTGGTACTGCAGTCCAACAAAATCTTAGTGAAAGCTCTCTTTTTTTTTTCTCTTTTTTCAGCTTTAAATTTGGAATATAATTTGTTCAGATATTTAGCTTTGGTTTTCTGTAAAAAAAAAAAAAAATATATATATATATATATATATATATATATATATATATATATATATATATATGTTGTGTAATATAATAAAATATACATTTATTGTTTTATTTATTTTATAAACTTAAAGGCACATTACTTTTATTTAATATGTCTACTGTATAAAGATTGTCAAAAGTATGAAAAAAATATGGTTCATATTCCTAAAATTGCACAGAAATTGGGGGCGCTCTTATATAGTCAATGATCTAAACCAATGTAAAATCTAGTGGTCATGTTTGGTACTGCAGTCCAATAAAATTTTAGTGAAAGCTCATTTTTTGAGGTATCAGCTTCAAATTTGGGATATAATTTGTTCAGAAATTTAGCTTTGTTTTTCTGAGAAATATATGTTTTATATAATATAATAAAATGGTTCACATTCCTAAAAACGCACAGAAATTGGGGGCGCTCTTATATTGACCTTATTCTCCGCAGATGAGCGGACGCTGCCATTTGAATCTTTTTGGCACGAGACTTCCGGTCTCATTCACTTCCATTCATTTTTATACATTAAAAACCGCTAGTTTCGCTGTTTGATGTTGCAAACTGATATTTCCTTGGTATATTATTCTACTTGGTCTGTATAGTCATGCAAACATTTGTTTGTAGAGCAAGTAGTTTGACCGTTTTTTGCCGTTTATTATTCCTTGTCATTTTTCCCATAGGCGACTGAAACGGAAGTTCTAAGACAATCGCGAAAACAGGCGCACTTCCGCATTTTAGAATAAGGTCAATAGTCACTGATGTAAACCAATGTAAAGTCTAGTGGTCATGTTTGGTACTGCAGTCCAACAAAATCTTAATGAAAGCTCATTTTTGAGGTATCAACTTCAAATTTGGGATAATATTTGTTCAGAAATTTAGCTTTGTTTTTCTGAGAAATATATGTTTTATATAATATAATAAAATGGTTCATATTCCTAAAAACGCACAGAAATTGGGGGCGCTCTTATATAGTAACTGATGTAAACCAATGTAAAGTCTAGTGGTCATGTTTGGTACTGCAGTCCAACAAAATCTTAGTGAAAGCTCTTTTTTTGGAGATATCAACTTCGAATTTGGAATATAATTTGTTCAGATATTTAGCTTTGTTTTTCTGTAAAAAATATATATGATATGTAATATAATAAATATACATTAATTGTTTTATTTATTTTATAAACTTAAAGGCACATTACTTTTATTTATTATGTCTACTTTAAAAAGATTGTCAAAAGTATGAACAAATATGGTTCATATTCCTAAAAACGCACAGAAATTGGGGGCGCTCTTATAAATTAACTGATGTAAAAAAATGTAAAATCTAGTGGTCATGTTCGGTACTGCAGTTAAACAAAATCTTAGTGAAAGCTCAATTTTTGGAGATATCAACTTTAAATTTGGAATATAATTTCTTTAGACATTTATCTTTGGTTTTCTGTTAAATATATATGTTTTGTAATATAATAAAATATACATTTATTGTTTTATTACTTTTATAAACTTAAAGGCACATTACTTATTTGTTATGCCTACTTCATAAAGATTGTCAAAAGTATGAAAAAATATGGTTCATATTGTTAAAAACACAGAAACATGCTCCTATATAGTCACCAATGTAAAATCTAGTGGTCATGTTTGGTTCTGCAGTTAAACAAAATCTTAGCGAAAGCTCATTTTTAGAGATATCAACTTCAAGTTTGGAATATAAAGACACATAACTTTTATTTTATTGGACTTTATTTGAACTTTTTAACTTTAACTACAGTCTGACTAGTGTCATCTTTAAAATGAGACCAAGCATTGGTTAAAAAGAACCATAATAACAACATCAAAAACAAAAAAATATAAGTAAAGTTTCATGCAGGGAACTCTTTGAAAGTCAATTGACAGCTATTCATCATATATATATTAGGAAAATGTACTGTTATCGGGGTTACAGATATTTTCTGTAGCATTTAACAGTATTTCACCAATAAAAACACATCTTTATGGTAATACAAGGGTTAAAAATAACTCAATAATTGTGAAACCCAAAGCAAAAGCAGTTGAGATCCTCTGCTATAGACAGCAGCTACAGTACGTGCAGTGCATTATTTGACACAAGCAGGGCATTATAGATCGAACGGCTGTTGGTTTAATGATGTTCGGTTGCGTTTGACTGTCTTTTTGTTGTAAGTGACATCAACAAACCAATCTATAATGCTGTACTGATGCCCAATAATGCTTCATATATTAGACTCACACCTACGAAGCATTAGCAGTATGAACGTATAAAGTGTTATGGGACACTATTACTCCAAAAATAAAGAGAATTAGCGGGATTTAACAAATCAAACATGAGCGAAGGGCTGCACGCTTGCGTTAGAAATGCAGATGTCTAGCCATGTTGTCTATTTTTTGATTGAGATGTTGTCTGTGCCAGTGGCCTTGAGCTTCTCTCTCTCTCTCTCTGTCTATATGAATGTGTCTCCAGTGGTTGCGTTGTCATACTGTCATATTGTTTGCCCCTCCCCCAGAGAGTTCCACGTATTCTGACTCCGCCTCTCATCCCGCCCCCTCCTCTAGCTCACCTTCTCGGAAGCCATGAGAAACAAAGCCCGCCTGTCAATCACGGGCAGCCTGGGGGAAAATGGGCGTGTCCTGACGCCAGACTGCCCTAAGGCCGTGCACTCTGGCCCCTCCTACCGACATGGCCCCGCCCTCGCCGTGGTGTCCTCCTACCTCCCATAGAAACCAAAAACTCACCTTGTGCCTTAAACCATCTTATCCGAAGTTCAGAAACACGCCGGCTTGCGCTTCCCAGGGATTTGGACCTGAAAAGAAAAACAATTCAGCCCTCGGGAGGAAAAAACAGACAAAAAAAAAGACGTCAAAAATTGTAAACAAACACTGAGATGAACGTTTTGACGCAGTCGAGCATCAAGGATCCGTGATGCCTTAACTGAAGCCTTTGGGGAGAAAAAAACAACAATGAGATGAAAAAAAAATCACGTAGAAGACCAGATAACTGTACATGTAAAGACATTAGCTGCGCTTCCCTGTTCAGCATTATTAGACGTATTAACTCACAACAGAACGACGCATTTGGTCCACTAGCTGTATTTACTAAACCGTATGTAGATATTCTCTCAGGAGCCATCCGAGGAGGACAACGACGTTCATTTTGGGAGAGGAGAAAAGTGGGAGCCGCTTGCTTTTTATTTTATTTTATTTGTATCTTTTCGGGACTGAATTGTAAATAGACCAGTAGTAAAAGCTGAACACGATTCTTTTATAAAGCATCTTAGGTAATAATTCATTGCAATAATGACCATAGGGAGAGACCTGACTTGTAATTAAGAGACCTTTTATAAAACACACAAGTATTATTATTATATCTACAGAAACGAATCTATATAATAGAGGGACTAAAAACAGCACCGTTTGCGTGTGAGACCATGGCATCTGTTCTGTTAACAATTGTTTTTGATAACTGATGTAACGCAGTGTGTGTTCGTGTCTTTGTCTTTAATGAATGTCCACGCATTTCACCGTTCGCACAAACACACATGTACACACACACGGACACGCGAGCGTATGTGAACGCCGCACCGCATCATCACAGCAGGATCACACACACCGACTCCTGACTCTCACGTTTGGTGTTTGGTTTTGTTTTCTTTTGCTTTTCTCTTTGTACCCACCAATTCAAATAAAACTGGAACATTTATACTATAAATCATTGTTTTTATTTGCGTGTTGAACAAAGGCTGATGCCACTGAGGTTGTTGAATTAGAATTTTAAAGGTAGAGTTCGACCAGTTACATGATTTACCGACACAATCTCAAGGCAATTCGTAACTTTTAGATTTAGTGGCTAATTTGTATGAATTTTTTACAATCTAACTCGTACGATTTAATACGATTTGCTCATCACTTAATGACGGTTGGGGTTAGGGGTGGGGTTGAGAGCCACCCCTCTTTTTAAAACATTTTCGACGACTGAACTTGTACGAATTCGCCACTAAACTGAAAAAACGTAAAATACTTACGTTTTCTCGTGAGATCAGGCTGGATTTACTCACCCTAATGTCATTCAAAGAGCGGCACGTCGGCTCAGCGGTCCCCAGCTGGGTCAGTCAGCATTTCTGTGTGGAGTTTGCATGTTCTCCCCCTGCTGGTGTGGGTTTCCTCTAGGTGCTCCGGTTTCCCCCTCAGTCCAAACACATGCACATTATAGGTGAATTGAATGAATTAAATTGGCTGTGATGCATGAGATTGTGTGAATGTGAGAGTGTATGGGTGTTTCCCAGTACTGGGCATCTGCTGCATAAAACTTATGCTGGAATAGTTGGTGGTTCATTCCGCTGTGGCGACCCCTGATAAATAAGGGACCAAGCCCAAGGAAAATGAATAAATAAATGAATGAATATCATCCAAGTCCTGTTTGCTAACTGTTGATCCCCAAAATAAATAAATAAATAAACAAACAAACACAATGATGCATTTTGGTTAGTTTTAATTAGAGAACATATTCATACTAGTATTCAGCTAGTGAAAATAATAGGCCTAACTAGGTTAATTATATGTTTATTTGGCAAGTTATTAGACAATCAAAATATATATACGAAGAGTTCAGATGCAAAAGCCTCTAAATCCATCAGAACTCTTGTCTTGTAATTGAGCATTTTCTATCAGGCTCTTTCTGTTTCTTTTTATATGTAATGATAAGGTCATTATCTGGTAAATAAAATAACTTTTTTCATAAGTATCACTTTAGACAATTCTTTGTTTTTTAACAAATTAGATTTTCTTTTGCGTCAAAACCAGCTGAATCCACGTCTGCTTTTTATGCAAAAACCTCCAAATCCACCTATTGAGACAAGACAGTGTAATTAGTTGAAAAACTAGAGATTATTCAATCAAACATAAAACACATACACAAAGCACCTAAAATTAAAAATACATCTGTTAAGTAAGTGGCGGTTCATTCCGCTGTGATAAACCAGAGAAAAAGCAGTAGGAAAATGAATGAATGAAATCTGTCAGTAAGTGCATTAATCAATAACATTAAAACTGACATGAATTAAATCTGAACAATCTGTTGTCATTTCTGATATTTAGCATTTAGATTTAATGTAAGAAGAGCAAGGAAAACATTGTAAACTAAGCTAGGTAGATTCAAATATTGTAGTTTAAAACATTGTGACGCTAATTTCATATATCAATCTGATGCTGTTTTAACATTAAGGTATTCAATTGACATCAAATCGATTAGCATTTTTAACGTTTTTGACGTCCATGTTAGATGTCAATTTGATGCATTTTAAAAGTTTTTTTTTTAAACCTATATAAAATTAAAATTTGATGCTGTTTTGACATCAAGGTAGTCAACTGACATTAAATTGATTAGCATTTTCATGTTTTTTGAATGCCAATATTAAATGCCAATTTGATGCTGTTTTAACATCAAGGCAGTCAATTAACATCAAATCGATTTACATGTTTGACGTCCATGTTAGATGTCAATTTGATGGCATTTTGACATCCAGATAGTCAACTGACATCAAATCAATTAGCATTCTTAACGTGTTCTTGATGCCATTATTAAAAGTCAATTGACAACGTTGATGTTGTAACAACATTAAATTTCCGTCAAATTGATTTTTTGTTAACGCCAATGTTAGATGTTAATATGATGCTATTTTGACATCCAGGTTGTCAATTTCCATCTAATATTGACATCTTAAACACGTCAAAAGTGCAAATAGATATGATGTCAATTAGAGATTATTCAATCAAACATAAAACACATACACAAACTACCTAAAATTAAAAATACATCTGTTAAGTAAGTGGCGGTTCATTCCGCTGTGATAAACCAGAGAAAAAGCAGTAGGAAAATGAATGAATGAAATCTGTCAGTAAGTGCATTAATCAATAACATAAAAACTGACATGAATTAAATCTGAACAATCTGTTGTCATTTATGATATTTAGGATTTAGATTTAATGTAAGTAGAGCAAGGAAAACATTGTAAACTAAGCTAGGTAGATTCAAGTATTGTAGTTTAAAACATTGTAAAACACCAATATCTGTGCACTGTCCATTAATAATAAAAGCTTATCAGACATATAGCTAATATGAAGCAGGCTAATATAAATGTTTTTTGGATTATAAATGAAAATGGATTATGGATTTTGGATTATATATAAAGTTTTATGGATTTTATACATATATATATATATTGGCACATTAGTATATGTGAGGGGGCAAAATTTTCAAGATGGGTGGTGAACATGATGGTCATTTTGAAGTCGGCCATCTTGGATCCAACTTTTGTTTTTTCAATAGGAAGAGGCTCATGTGACACATCAAACTTATTGGGAATTTCACAGGAAAAACAGTAAAGATACAAGATGTGCAGCACCTGAAACTACGGATACTGGAAGCCTGTGTTGGCATTTTTCCTGCAGTGTTGCTGTCAGTGTGTGAAGAGTGGGAGAAGAGCGTTGCATTGACAATCCAACACAATGTGCGGCACATTGAACACATTTTATAAGTGGTCAGAAACTTGTAAATAACCCATGAAAGAATAAAGTAAAGGTAAAACCAAGCACAACATTGTTTTTCTTATGAAATTCCCAATAAGTTTGAACTATCACATGACCCTCTTCCTATAGAAAAAACAAAAGTTGGATCCAAGATGGCCGACTTCAAAATGGCCACTATGGTCACCACCCATCTTGAAAAGTTTGCCCCCTCACATACACTAATGTGCCACAAACAGGCATTAACATCACCAACCATTCCCATTTTATTAAGGTGTATCCAAATAAACGGCCTACCCTGTAAATTTGAATGTTTTTCATTTTTTTTTAATGATTTTCACAGACAAACAAGCACAGATGTAGTGGAGAAAGACAGTGGCTAGGTTTACATGGACGTCAGTAATCTCATTATTAGCCAAATTATTAATTTGTCGACCTTAACTGCAGTTTGGCACTTTCACTTAAATTCAGGAACATTTCATGCATGCCCCCCTTGACAAACGAGATATTGGATGCGAGGAACTGCTGGAAGAGTGTAGTTTTATTGGAGTGTTTGATACCGCACGGCATATGAGAGAAAAAAAACCCTCTGCATTTCTTGGTAACTGAGGGTGCTTTCACACCTGTGAATCGATTCAGTTGTTCCGAAACAGAGATTACAAATGTTACATTGTTGCTCTTTGTTCTTGGAGCGGTTCGCTTTCACACTGCAAAGTTTCTAATCGGACCAAAAGAGCTAAAACAAGTCACGTGCGAGTAAACTCTCCTCACATTGGTCAGGGTTTATTTTGCAGAGTCCCGCTCAGCTGTCAGGAGAGGAGGTGGTTTGGTGGTGATTGACAGGGTGTGCGCGCGACATGTCTAAAGAGAGATGCCTCCACAAACTCCGCGATGACATCACATTCACTGCGCGCACTCAAGCGAACAAGCGGACGCGTCGAGTATAAACAAGGCTTGAGAAGGGTGTGCGACGATGACTATTTGAGGAATGGGAGGGAGACGTGAGATTACCTGGAGATTACTCGTTTGCGGGCATCCGGAGACTCGCAAAACTTCCCGCCATACTCATAATTCTCTCTTCATATAGCCGTAAGCCTATTACATATCCATAAAACACTGTGATATAACCGCGCTCGGATCGGATCGCTTTCTCACTGCAATCGAACCGCCCCAGGGTTCGTTTCAATCGAGCCGAGACCATCTCACTCAAGCGATCTCGGAGGGATTACTTTGGCGCGGAACAGAGCGCGATTGCACTGTTCACATATGCTAAACGAACCGCGCTAACTGGGCAATCGAGACACGTTCCGAAACAAAAGTGTAGGTGTGAAAGCACCCTCAGATACACTTAGCAGGTGCAGAGAATAGTGTCAGAAAGCGTGTGTATAGACTATACACAAAATGCGGCGAAAATCCTACACGACGGTAATAGTTTGATTGCGATGTTCACACTCAGAGAACAGCATTAACAGCGGATCTTTCAGTTCATAATATTGTAGTGATGTTAACGTACTGTAAACTCAGTAACTAAATCATTTTGACTAAGGTCTGTCTTTAAACATTGAAAGCGTACTGCTGACGATACGAACTTACTTTGCCATCTAAATAAACAAACAAAGACCACTGATCGATCACTTACCAAATCTGTAGAGACAGGACAATCAACACCAACTGAAGATGCGTCTTTTTTTAAAAAGGAGACGAGCGGAAAATCCAGATTTCACCATTTCCAGATGCGAAAGGCTCCCGGGTAAAAAGTGTTCCTTACAAACACATTTCTGTTGTGTGCTAGCAGACCACGGTAGTCCACATAAGAGTCCAGCTGCGCTCTCAGAGCAGGGAAATGGAAACAAAACCATCACGTTTCATTTCTGCTGCAACACTGAAACCCACTGAAACTGTTTGGGCTTATGTTATATATACGTTATATATAACTATTTTAAAACAGGACATTATTTTAAAGTGTTACTAAAAAGCTAATGTATTGCATGTAAATATTTGTGAAATTTACTAGACTAAATCCAAAATCTTCTAACTTATTGACCAGCATAGACCCATTGTAAAAATGACTTAAAACCTATTACACCTAAAACCAAGTCATTCTCCTTCAGCTTAGTCCCTTATTCATCAGGGGTCGCCACAGCGGAATGAACTGCCAACTATTCCAACATATGTTTTATGCAGCGG